AATACAGGTAGCAAAAGATTACTTCAAGAGAGAGATAAAGACTCTGAAAAAACAAACAGAAATCCTTAAAATGAAGGATACAATAAATTAAATAAAAAACTCAATAGAAAGCAAAACCAACAGACTAGATTATTTGGAAGAAAGAACATCAGATAATGAAGACAAAGTATACAGTCTGGAAAATGAAGTTGATCACACCGTGAAGATAGTAAGAAACCATGAACAGAACATCCAAGAATTATGGGACCGCATCAAAAGACCAAATCTAAGAGTTACTGGGATAGAGGAAGGCACAGAGTTTCAAATCAAAGGAATGCACAATCTCTTCAAAGGAATGCACAATCTCTTCAATGAGATAAATATTAGAAAATTTCCCAAGCATGAAGAATAAATTGGAAAGCCAAGTACAAAAGGCTTATAGGGCACCAAATGTACAAAATTACAACAGATATACACCAAGGCACATTATAATGAAAATGCGTAGCATACAGAATAAGGATAGAATCTTAAAGCCACAAGAGAGAGGAATCAGATCACATATAGGGGTTGACCATTTTGTATCTCAGCAGATTTTTCAACCCAGATCCTAAAAGCCAGAAGATCATGAAACACCATATACCAAGCTCTGAAAGAAAATGGATGCCAACCAAGAATCTTATATCCAGAAAACAAAACTAAGCTTTAGATTTGATGATGAAATAAAAACTTTCCATGATAAACAAAAGTTAAAAGAATTTACAACTAGAAAGCCTGCACTACAGAACATCCTCTGCAAAATATTCCAAGAAGAGGAAATGAAAAACAATGATGAAAATCAACAGGAGGGATTACACTAAAGGAAAATCTAATCAGAGGAGAAACTAAGTCATGTTAAATACCAAAAATAAACAAAAAATGGCTGGGAATACAAATCATGTCTCAATAATAACTCTGAATGTTAATGGCCTAAATTCACCAATCAAAAGACATAGACTAGCAGAGTGGATTGGATTAAAAAATAAAAAAGACCCAACAACATGCTGTCTCCAA